CATGGTGAAACCCTGCTTCTACTAAATATACAAAAATTAGCCAGGTGTGGTGCTGTGCGCGTGTAATCCGAGCTACTTGAGAGATTGAGGCAGAATTGCTTGAATGTGGGAAGTGAAGTTTGCAGTAAGCCAAGATTGCGCCACTGCACTCCAGCCTGGGTTCCAGAGAGAGACAGAGGGTGTTTGCCTTAACCTTGTGTTTAAGGTCATATGCACTACATATTTCATATATATATATATATATATAATTACGCTTAAAAATATATAGATATAAAATATATGTATAAAATATCATAGACTGGGCCTGGCGGCTCACACCTGTAATCCCAGCACGTTGGGAGGCCAAGGGAGGTAAATCGTTTGAGATCAGGAATTCGAGAAGAGCCTGGCCAACACGGCAAAAACCTGTTCTCTACTATAAATACAAAAATTAGTTGGGCATGATGGTGTGCCCACCCGCAATTCCAACTACTCGAGAAAGTGAGGCAGGATAATTGCTTGAACCCGGGAGGGAGAGGTTGCAGTGAGCTGAGATCATGCGATTGCACTCCAGTCTGGGCGACAAGAGAGAGATTTCATTTAAAATATATATGCTGCCATTGCCAAGTAATGCGGAGGCAGAAGCTCGGGTGCGTTCAAGATTTGGCTTTACCCATAACCCACTGCCATGACCAAAAACAATCATTGCTGCTGGAGATGTAATAAACATTAATACTGCTTTACAAGAGGTGCTGAAGACCGCCCTCATCCACCATGGCCTAGCACGTGGAATTCACAAACCTGTCAAAGCCTTAGACAAGTGCCAAGCCCATCTTTGTGTGCTTACATCCAACTGTAACGAGTCTATGTCTGTCAAGTTGGTGGAGGCCCTTTGTGTTGAGCACCAAATCAACCGAATTAAGGTTGATGACAACAAGAAACCAGGGGGATGGGTAAGACTTTGTAAAACTGATGGAGAGGGGAAACCTCGTAAAGGGTTAGTTGCAGTTGTGTAGTAGTTAAGGACTATCGCAAGGAGTCTCAGGCCAAGGATGATATCGGAGAGTATTTCAAGTGCAAGAAATGAAGAAATAAATCCGTGGCTCACACACACACACTATATATATATTCACAAAAATATACAGCTGAGAAAATTTCTAAACGTACTCTATCTAAGAAAGAAAAAAGTGGTCGTGTACAGTGACTCACTCCTGTAATCCTAGCACTTTGGGATGCTGAACTAGGCAGATTGCCTGAGCTCAGGAGTTCAAGACCAGCCTGGGCAACACGGCAAAACCCTGTCTCTACTAAAATATGAAAAATTAGCTGAGCATGGTGGCGTGAGCCTGCAGTCCCAGCTACTTCACAGGCTGAGGCAGGAGAATTGCTTGAACTCAGGAGGCAAAGGTTGCCCTGAGCTGAGATCGTGCCACTGCACTCCAGCCTGGGTGACAGAAAGAGACTCCATCTCCAAAAAGAGAAAGAAAAAAAAGGAAAATGAGAATTTCTCACAAATAAGACATGATTAGATGTTAATTTTTTTCTGAAACCTACCTGTTTTATGCCCTTTGTTAATATTTTCTTACCTTTCAAGTCCTAATGAAATGCAAGTTACAGTTAAATAATGAAAGGCAAAGAAAATCAACAAATTTTTTCAAGGTGACAAATCCAGGGAGTGGTCAAGCTAATTAGGAAACAGATGCATCTGATTCATTTGTCAAGTTGGGCCATCCAATCACTTGAGATATTCACCCACCCCATTCTGCTCACCTTAAATGCTCAATAACCACTCTCTCAGGAGACACTACATTATGTCCCAGGTGCATTTTACTTTGCAAGTTCTTGCACCATCTCACCTGGGCCAGGCTTTTTTTTTTTTAAATGGAGTTTTGCTGTTGTTACCCAGACTGGAATGCAACTGCACAATCTCAGCTCACCGCAACCTCCGCCTCCTGGGTTCAAGCAATTCTCCTGCCTCAGCCTCCTGAGTAGCTGGGACTACAGGCACGCACCACCACGCCCAGCTAATTTTTGTATTTTTAGTAGAGACGGGGTTTCACCTTGTTGACCAGGATGTTCTCGAGCTCTTGACCTCGTGATCCACCCGCCTCAGCCTCCCAAAGTGCTGGGATTATAGGCGTGAGCCACCGCGCCCGGCAGCCTCAGATTTTTAATAGGAGAAAATAAAAACTGTGAACCTCACAGACCAAAGCTCTTCCTATTCGTAAACCCACACACCAAGTCAGGATTCTCCCCTGAGGACCCTCCAATGATCCCTGCACAATCTGGGAGAGACTCGGCACTGAGGATGCAGAGCTGCCCAGAGAGGGCTCCAGGACAAGGCATAGTCACTACTCAGTGAAGAGACAGGATGCCCAGGATCCCTGCTGTCAGCACAGCTGCAGTCTTATGATTGAAAGGGACTATGGCTGAGCTGGGCACGGAGAATTAGGGGAGCAGATTGTGGAGCTGACTGCAGGGAGTCCTGAATCCCACCACAGCCACTTCCCACTGGTTCCAGCCAGCCCCTTCCCCTCTTTCAGGATGTCTGACTGGGCACTCTCACTATGTCTAGACTTCCAGGGATTCCTGGCATCTTAGCTGTGGATCTCCAAATACCTGCAGGTCACAGGGCCACGGAGGCTGGGCCTCTAGGGGCAGAGGACACAGAGCAGTGAAGATGAGACCTGGAGTTCAGGCTGCATCGAGAGACAAAGGCCCTGCAAAACCCGGAAGCCACCTATCCCCTCCAGCTGCGTGTCTGAACTATCCCAGCTCAGAGTCCCTTACAGGATAATGTGTAAGACCCACCCCTTTAGGTCCTGAGTGACAGATGTGATCAGCACTGGGTTGAATGAAGAGTGACAGCCTAGGCTGCAGCCTTATTAGGCAGAGCTTCCTCCCTGGGTTGCTCCAAGCCCACCCCAGAGGGTGTTTGCCTTTAACCTTGTGTATAAGGTCATATGCACTTGTAAATAACATGCTATATGGCTATTCACAAAATAAAAGAATAGAATAACCATTATTCTAAAATTTTAAATTTTATGACCTTCCTGGCTTCTGGGCCTTTGAGCAGGCAGCCTGAGATTTTAAAAAGGAGGCAATCCTTTGAAATAAAATGTGAGCCACAGGTGAGGCACAGTGCCTCACACCTGCCAGTACTTTGGGAGGCTGAGGATGGTGGGTCACCCTAGGTCAGGAATTCGAGAACAGTCTGCCAACATGATGAAACTCCCGCTTCTAAAAAATATAAAAAATTAGCTGCGCTTGGTGGCGGTCACCTGTAATCCCAGGTACATGGGAGGCTAAGGCAGGAGAATCACTTGAACCCTGGAGGCAGAGGTTGTGGTGAACCGAGATCTTTCCATTGCACTGCAGCCTAGGCAAACAGAACAAAATTCTGTCTCAAAAAAAATACTGCAAATACTTATATACTTAATTAATAATTACATATTCCTTACACATTAAAATGATAATATTTGGATATATGAGGCTAATTACATTGTTACAATGAATTCAACCTGTTTCTTGTTAGTTTTTGTTTGTTTGCTTTTGAGATGGAGTTTACTCTGTAGCCAAGCTGGAGTGCAGCGGCATAATCTTGGCTCACTGCAACCTCTGCCTACCAGGTTCAAGCAATTCTCCTGCCTCAGCCTCTCCAGGAGCTAAGAATAGAGGTGTGCGCCACCATGCCAAGCTTATTTTTGTATTTTTTCAGTAGAGATGTCACCATGTTGATCAACATGGTCTCAATCTCTTGACTTCTTGATCTGCCCACCTTAGTTGCCTAAAGTCCTGGGATTACAGGCGTTAGCCATGGTGCTGGCCCCGTTTTCTTTTTTTTCTTCTTTTTTTTTCTTTGAGAGGGAGTCTTGCTCTGTTTGCCCAGGCTGCAGTATAGCAGTACAATCTCTGCTCACTGCAATATCTGCCTCTCGGGTTCAAGCAATTCTCCCGCCTCAGCCTCCTGAGTAGCTGGGATTACAGAGGCCTGCCACCGTGTCTGGCTAACTTTTGTATTTTTAGTAGAGACGGGGTTTCACCATGTTAGCCAGGCTGGTCTCAAACTCCTGACCTCGTAATCCACCCGCCTAGGCCTTCCAAAGTGCTGTGATTGCAGGCATGAGCCACCACACCTGGCCCCTTGTTTCATTTTAAAGTTTGGCTACTAGAAAATTCAAAATTTACATGTAGCTCACATTTTATGTCAGATGATTCCCTCCTTTTTAAAATCTCAGGCTGCCTGTTCAAAGAACCATAAGCCAACGGTAGGCCTCCGAGTCCAAGCCTGGCCATTATAACCTTGGTGACCCACACATACACCTTTGGATGGTCCCCAGAAGCCAGAAAGTTTGAGGTAACCACAAGTAATCATGTGACTATAGAAAGAAGTGAAACATTTTCCTGCCTCAACTAACTGCTTTCCCCCTGTAACATGCAATCTGCAACCATTGTTCCTGCTCAGCCTTGCAGAATTTCCTCCCTGGACATTAGGTTTCTTAAGGCAACCTCCTACTCCCGGGTTCAAGCAATTTTCTACCTCAGCCTCCTGAGTAGCTGAGATTACAGGCATATGCCACCATGCCCGGCTAATTTTCGTATTTTTTAGTAGAGATGGGGTTTCACCATCCTGGCCATGCTGACCTCGTGATCCACCTGCCCCTGCCTCCCCAAGAGCTGGGATTACAGGTGTGAGCAATGGTGCCTGGCCACGGAAAAAAAAAAAGCTGAAAATGTAAAACATTTGTTATTATATTCTTTTCATTTATGTATAGCCATATGATATACTATTTACAAATGCATATGACCTTATACACAAGGTTGAATGCAAATACGCTCTGTGGTGGGCCTAGCTCAGTTAAGGGAGGAAGCCCTGCCTGAACAGACAGCAGCCTAAGCTGTCACTCTTCAGTCCGCCATCTGATCACATCTTCTGTCACTCAGGGCCTGAGAGGGTGGGGTTTTAAACGTTATCCAATCAGCGACGCTTGGCTGTGAACAGTCCAATCAGGTAGGCAGCTGGAGTGACAGACAGCTTCCGGGATGTGGCGGGCCCTTTGTCTCTCACAGCAGCCGGAGCTCCAGGTCCGGTCTTCACTCCTCTGGTTCTCCGCTCCTAGAAACCCAGCCTCTGTGGTCCCGTCACCTGCAGGCATTGGGAGATCCACAGCTAAGATGCCGGGATCCCCTGGAAGCCTAGAAATGGTGAGAGTGCTGGGTCTCACATCTCCAGAGAGGGGAAGGGATTGGTTGGAACGGGTGGGAAGTGGTTGTGGCGGGACTCAGGCCTTCCCACAGTCAGCTCCACAATCTGTGCCTGAGTTTTCCTTGCCCAGCTCAGCCTCAGTCCCCTTCAACCATAAGGTGGTGGCTGCGCCAACAGCCGGCCCCGGATGTCCTGTCTCTTCTCTGCGCCCTGACTGTGCCCTGGCCTGAAGCACTTTCTGGGCAGCTTTGCACCCGAAGCGGCTCCTCTCCCAGATTGTGCAGAGACCACGGGAGGGTCGTCAGGGGAATCCTACTTGGCCTGCGGGTACATGAATGGGAACAGAGTTGTTCCATGGGGTTCCCAGTTCCTATCTTCTCCTATTACAAATATATGGGAGTCTCTGCAAAAATATTAAAGAATTTAATCAAAGAGTGGTTCTAGAATTGTAGAGCACCAGCTATGGTTTGTAGTTTGTGGTCTATAATAGAGGCTTGAAGGCAAGTCTTTTATAAAATGCATGATGAAGAAAACCAAATTTAGTAATTGGTTAGATACAGTTAGTGGTTTTTTTTTTTTGAGACTGAGTCTTGCTCCTTCACCTAGGCTGGAGTGCAGTGGCGTGATCTCGGATCACGCAATTTTTCTGCCTGGGCTTTCTGTAGGAAGCCAGCCCTACATCACCCATGGGTACCCCAAGTTAGGTGGTGATGAAGGAATGAAAATAAGATTAAGAGAAAAAGTGGGAGCATGGGGACATCACTTTATTAACTTGGAGGAAACAGCAGAGGTCCCGAGCTCTGATCATCCACACCATTTATTGATTACAATCACTATGATCTATAGGGTAGGGGTGGAGTGATGGTGGAGGGAATCAGTGAGCAGAACTGGTGTGTCATCCTAAGGATTGATAACTGTGGCAGTTTGGGAGTTTCGCAAAACGAGAACATGTGGTTATCTTTAGCTTATTATCTATGTACAGCTGATGGAATGCTGGCCTTACAAGGAGCCTACAAGTCTGGCTACATCATAGTGCTACGAAGGGGTTTTACATCCTTGAGCACAATGTTTATGGTAACAGAGCCGAGGTCACCCTGCACTGGAAGATGAGGCATGGAGAGGCCTTCCTCCTCAGAGGCCTCCTGCAGTCTTCTGCAGTTTGTTGTTCCTTGTTTATGTGTTACTCATAACCAATTTATGTAGGCACTCTGTAAGTCCTTTCTCCTTTGCTGTTTTCCCCAACAGCTTCCCAAGTGTAGTTGGGACTACAGGCATGAGCCACTGCACCTGACTAATTTTTTTTTTTTTTAGTACAGACAGGGTTTCACCACTGTAGACCAGGGTGGTCTCGAACTGCTGACCATGTGATCTGCCTGCCTCGGCCTCTCAAAGTGCTGGGATTACAGGCATAAGCCACCATGCAGGACCTGTTATTCACTTTTTTCTTTTTTTTTCTTTCTGGTGCCGTGACTAGGATACTTCGCTATTTAATAATAGCCATTCTGACTGGTGTGAGATGGTATCTCACTGTAGTTTTTTGTTTTGTTTTGTTTGCATTTCTCTAACGTGATGAGAATTTTAAAAAATATTTTTGTAGACCGGGCGCGGTGGCTCACGCCTATATTCTCAGCACTTTGGGAGGCCGAGGCGGGTGGATCACTAGGTCAAGAGATCGAAACCATCCTGGTCAACATGGTGAAACCCCATCTCTACTAAAAATACAAAACCTTAGCTGGGCATGGTGGCGCAACCTGTAGTCCCAGCTACTCGGGAGGCTGAGGAAGGAGAATTGCTTGAACCCAGGAGGCGGATGTTGTGGTGAGCCGAGATCGTGCCATTGCACTCCAGCCTGGGTAATAAGAGTGAAACTCTGTCTCAAAAAAAAAAAAAAATTTTTTTGCTAGCTACATATTTGTATTTTCAAAAACATCTGTTCATGTTTTTTGCCCACTTTTTTAATACGATGGTATGTTGCTTTCTTGTAAAGTTATTTAAGTGTCTTAATTCTGAATATTAAACCTCTGTAAGAAAATAGTTTGCAACTTTAAAAAAATTTTTGTTGATTGTCTGTTTAGTCTGTTAATATTTTCCTTTACATCAGCTTTGTCAGAAATCAGATAGCTCTTTAGTTTAATTTGGTTCCATTTGTCAATTTTTGCTTTTGCTGCAATTGCTTTTGGTATCTTCATCATGAAATCTTTGCTAGTTTCTATGCTTAGAATGGTATTTTCTAGGTTATTTATCTTCCAGTTTTTTTTTTAATCATACGTTTTGCATTTAAGTCTTTAATTCATCTTGAGTTGATTTTTACATATGGTATAAGGAAGGGGACCAGTTTTAATTTTCTACATAGTTCTAACTAGTTGTTCCAGCACCATTTCTTAAGTAGGGAGTTCTTTTCACATTCTTTACATCAGCTTTGTCAGAAATCAGATAGCTGACCCACCTCAGCCTCCAAAGTGCTGGGATTACAGGCGTGAGCAATGGTGCCAGGCCCTCAACACAGAAATTTTAAAGCCCCCGCTTTGAGAATGCGGCTCTTTAAGCTTTTCAGATCTTGTGTAGTGACTGCTACAGTTATGTGAGAGGCTCCAGGTGTAAATAGAAGCTGATGACAGAATCTGTAATTGTAAACAAGCATCTTAAGACTGAAAGATCAAGGCCACAAAGTATTCAGGACCATGACCACAACTATATCTACCTTTAAATTATGATATTGGAATAGAATATTCTTGTCCTTCTTCTTACCCAAAAGCTAGCAAATCAGGATAGGTGATCCAGCTTCTGGAGCTCCACCAAGGCAGTTCCATTTTCTATTTAGAATCAGCCTGAGTTTCTCCAGCGTGGGTTATCATTCGACCATCAGCCCTAGGTTACAGGGAATCCTCTCACAACCAGCTAGCTGTCTTTAAGACATTTGAAGATGTCCAGGGCAGAATTATGTCAGGCTGACAAGAATGATTAATTCTGCTTCTGTATCAGTGTAAGAGAAAGGAGTCATCCTGTGTTGTCTTCTCCGTGATACAAGAGCTAACTTTGGTTGGTACCCAGATGAGAGTTTCTGAAGTTTCCTGGTACTTGGGTGAAAGACAAAGAGGAGGTCTGGTGACTCAAACAGATAAACTAATTGCTTCCATTACATATGGTCATTCAAAGAATAGATGAAGCAGTCATGGTCCCTACTATCCACAAACTTTTAGTCTAGACTAGCAACTGGATACATGATTGAATTAAACATCATGTGGTTGGTACAATGAATAGATGTGTGCCAAACAAACAAATAAAAAACTCGGTCCACTTTTTTTTTTAAGTATTGTTGTGATTTCTGATGTTATTATCTGAAGGGATATTTGTGGATGGAAGAGTTTTTTTTTTTTTACTTTTCTAAAAATACATATTTATCTTCTAAAATTATCCTAGAAAATGAAAACTTTAAAAGATTGATTTAAATTGCTTATTAGTACATGTTATAAAACTGACAAAGCAGTGGCAAAAAAATAGATTAAAGTTACATAAACTCTGAAATTTAAGTTTTTAGATAAGCTTAGGAAAAACAGAACTGGAAATACCCCAGAGACAACAAATTCTCCCTGCCTCAGTTCTGATCAGATTCACCCTTTTTGGAGGCCTTATTTAGGTCTGGCCCCACTCTGGAGACTTTCCTTACAAAACTGATGTATAAAGATTCAAGTTTTGGCTGGTAAACTGTGCTGACTTTCTAGAGCTGGTGCTCACAATATCCTGAAACCCAAAAACAGATACATAAGAAAAATGAAGTATACATTTCAAGATCTTAGTTTTTAAATTTTGTAGTAAAACCAATGCTTACAGAAACATTGTTTAGCAACTTGGTTTCTATTCCTGCAGATCTAGGAGTCACTCCACAAGTCACAAACAAGTAAATATAAACACAAAATTTTCTCTAAACTATATTACATTTTTTCTATGTTTATATTTCTTTATCTGTAGATCTTCATCTGTCTATATTTAGCTTTTAGTTATTTATATTGCTGCCTTCTGTTTTTCCTATAAATTTTAAGGAGCCAGCAAAGAATATGAAACTTTAGAATGGAGATTTTTTTGTCTTTTTATAAAAATCTTTTATTTTTAGGCCAGGCGTGGTGGCTCACACCTGTAATCCCAGCACTTTGGGAGGTTGAGGCTTGTGGATCACGAGATCAAGAGATCAGTACCATCCTGGCCAACATGGTGAAACCCCATCTCTATTAAAAATACTAAAATTAGCTGGGCATGATGGCACATGGCTGTAGTCCCAGCTACTCGAGAGGCTGAGGCAGGAGAATCACCTGAACCCAGGAAGTGGAGGTTGCAGTGAGCCAAGATCATGCCATTGCACTCCAGCCTGGGGACAGAGTGAGACGCCATCTTAAACAAACAAAAACCTTTTCTTTTTTTTTTTTTTTTTTTTTTGAGACGGAGTTACCCAGGCTGGAGTGCAATGGCACGATCTCGGCTCACCGCAACCTCCGCCTCCTGGGTTCAGGCAATTCTCCTGCCTCAGCCTCCTGAGTAGCTGGGATTACAGGCACGCGTCACCATGCCCAGCTAATTTTTTGTATTTTTAGTAGAGACGGGGTTTCACCATGTTGACCAGGATGGTCTCGATCTCTTGACCTTGTGATCCACCCGCCTCGGCCTCCCAAAGTGCTGGGATTACAGGCTTGAGCCACCATGCCCGGCCTCCTTTTCATTTTTATTACTCAAAAAAGTTTCATTTTTTATTTAGCTTTCTGACTCTGTTCTTGCACCTTCAACACCTTCATGATGATTTTCTGCTCCTCAGTAAGGAAAGCATGCTTGATCCTGTCACAAACACATTTAGCACACATGGAACCACCATAGGCTCTGCTGACATGTTTCTTTGTTTTGGACAATCTCATAAGAACTTTTGGTCTTATGGCATGAACCCCTCGAAGTCTGCCGGGGCATGCACCACATTCAAATTTTGGTGCTTTGGTTGGTATAAAGGTAAACAATTCTTTTACCGGGGTTCAGGACAGCCTAGTTTCGTTAGAGGCTGTATTGTAGGGAAGCCTGCATTGGTATGTGAAATGCTGGACCATTTTGAGTACCTGTAGATAACGTCTCCTAAAGAGTGAATGTAGCTTGTCTTTATTTGTACCAGAATTATTTGTGGTGTGAAAAGAGTGTAAGGGACTCTGTGCTGTGCCTGCTTTCTCTAACTAATGCTAACACCTCACCCAGGGGGAGCACATCAGCATTGACAGGGGAATTCTTTGAAACAGCCATCCATGGACCCTTTACAAACCTCCAGAATCACATTACATAGAGTGGGACCAACATTACTAAGTGATTTTTGAGCTCATTAAAGTTTGAGAGGCAATGCTTAGCTAAGTGGTTATCAGCCCAGGCTTCTCATTAGGATTACGTGGCCAATTTGCAGAAATCTCTTTACTTGTACCTTTCCATGGGTTGTTTATTTTTCTAGGTGAAAGTATTTATGTTGTTTTAATTGTGTTTCATGTGACTCTGAGGTGAGACCAGAATTAAGTATGAAGGGTTCAAGATACATTCATGAGAGTGAAGTTTCACCTTTACATTTGGTCACAGGATCTATTCTGTTTGGTTTTGATAGGGAGAGGTCAGTGTGACCTGTATTTCCATTACTGTAGCAGAACTTGCTGGTATTTTTGGCAGGCGTGGATTCCTGAAGACAGAAATAGAGACACCTATTTTTATATTAATGGAGCAGCTCGTTCCTGAAAGTCTTCTGTTATATAGAACAGAAATGGGTGGGCTTTTCTGCAGGTCTTAGTTCTTTTATCTGTGGGTATGAGGCTAGCAGGTAAACAAGCGGTGCTGTCACTTTAAAGGAATGTTCTGAGGATCCTGGTGTATCTACTCCAGAGAACATCATCTGAAAAAGAATTTGCAAAAATGGTGAAAGAGAAAGAATTGTTTTTTTTTGTTTGTTTGTTTTAGCTAAACGTGTCAGATGAAGAGCTGTGTACACTCTGCATCCTGGAGTGCCAAGCGTTTAGTTGCCACAAACCTTTACTTCTCTACTTGTGTTTCTTTTGTTCTAATGAATTGTTTTAACTAATTTTAAAAATTCCATTGACAGTCAAGGGTGTTTGCTAAATATTTATCTCCTTAATCACAGAGCCATCTCTGCACTTTCTAAATCATGGCTTTTTATATGCCATGCAGAATTCTCATCATGCATTTATTATCTGCAGTATTAAAAATGTTTCCTTTGTTGCTGTTGAACATGGGAAGATGTGTGTACTCGAGATTCCTATTGGGGGAAAGCTGGGGTCCTTAGTAAAGATGGACAACATGTAATGTTGAGGTTTCATTCATTAGCTCTATGTGGAAGAGGATTAAGAAAATGCTTATTTAGACAGGATGGCATTTATTACCCTGAAAGTGTAATAACCTAACCTGGGTTAGCCTAACTGACTCCATCTTAGCTGCAAACCTGACAAGCTCTCTCAAGCCTCTCCCTCTCTGCCAAGGCCCCTCAGGTGCATTACTGGGTCACATGCTGCACTCAGAGCTTTGAAGGGTTAAAAGTGGTTCACAGCACCTGTAACCATTGTAACCACACCTTGCTTCCCAAGTCTGTCTGCTATTGTGAATCCCTTCCTTGGTAATTGACTGTATGGAAAGTTCCCCCTGCTATCCCCCTGAGTGATTGTATGGAAATACCCTTAGCAACCAACAATCCTGGGAACCTCCTGTCCCCTGGTTACCTGCTTCTTATCTAACTTGCTAGTTCTGCTTCAGTAAAATTCTGCCTCAGCTAGGCTCCCACTCCCCTTCCTAAATCAAGGTATAAAAGATAATCAAGCCCCTTCCTTGGGGCCAGGAGAACTTTGAGCATTAGCCGAGGTCTGGCTAATACAGCTAATAAAAAGGACTCTTAATTTGGAACTCAGTGAATGGTGCATTCCTTCTAACTCGCTCGGTTATTACAAAAGCTCTGAAACAAAAATTATTGGGAGATACCTGCTCTCTAGGGTGATAAAGACTACTTTAAATTGTTATTAAAAATTACAGAACATAGAAGATATCTGCATCTTGAATGCTGCATAAAACTGATTTTTCTGTATGGTTAAATTCAGACTATAATTTTCTTTTTGAGGGGCAATATCTCAGCAGTGATGCTTTCTTCACCGTACATCAGCACATCATAAAACACTGTCCTGTGCCCGCAATAACCTTGGTTTGTATCTGAGTCATAGCACCAAAAAAAAAAAATGTCCTAGTGCAGTTGGTTTTAAAATTTACTTAGTTGCCGGGCGTGGTGGCTCACGCCTATAATCTCAGCACTTTGGGAGGCTGAGGTGGGTGGATCACAAGGTCAAGAGATTGAGACCATACTGGCCAACATGGTGAAACCCTGTCTCTACTAAAAACTACAAAAAATTAGCTGGGCATGGTGACACATGCCTGTAGTCCCAGCTACTCGGGAGGCTGAGGCAGGAGAATTGCTTGAACCCAGGAGGCAGAGGTTGCAGTGAGCTGAGATTGTGCCACTGCACTCCAGCCTGACACCTGGTGACAGAGCCAGACTCTGTCTCAAAAAAAAGAAAAAATAAAATAAAATTTACTTAAAGAGCTCTCTAAAATATATATCTCACTATAGAGTTACTTGTATTTCTCCTCATTATTAAGTTTATTTATGTAGCTAAAAAAGAGCTGCGCATAAACCATCACATTTAATCTGGCAGCTGTCTTCTTTCTTTTCTTTTCTTTCTTTCTTTCTTTCTTTCTTTTCTTTCTTTCTTTCTTTTCTTTCTTTTTTTTTTTTTCCCCCATATCTCTGTCTTTGGAGAATGAAGTCTCCCTGTTTACAGGTCAGAATAACTGGGTAAAACACAGGATGTTTGTTTCCACTTACTGGATGTTTGGGAAATTACTCTTTTTGTGCCAAACACATTGGCGTTACTAGTGAGCTTGTTAGAAATTCAGAAATTTATATACAATTGAATAAAAGAGTTTAGGAACTGGAAAAGAAAAAAAGAAATTCAGAAACTTGGACTTTATTTTAGACCTTCTGAAAAAAAAATCTGCACAAGATCTCTAGTTTAATTTACACATTAAAATGTAAGAGGTGCCTTTTTTTTTTTTTTTTTTTTTTTTTTTGAGATTGAGTCTTGCTCTGTCGCCCAGGCTGGAGTGCAGTAGCACAATCTTGGCTCACTGCTGCCTGAGTAGCTGGGACTATAGATGCCTGCCACCATGCCTGCTAATTTTTTGTTATTTTTAGTAGAGACAGGGTTTCACCATGCTGACCAGGCTGGACTCAAACTCCTGACCTTGTGATCTGCCCGCCTTGGCCCCCAAAGTGCTGGGATTACAGGTCTGAGCCACCTCACCCTGCCATAAAAGGTGCCTTCTAATTCAACATGTTTTTTGTCTTTGTGATGCAAATATAACACTAAAAATGTACATGTTTGTGCTTATGCCTTTAGTTTTATACTTTATTATTCATAAAAGTATTATATATACTGGTGTTGTGGATCTTATACCATTCTCTTCTCAGAGTTAGAGAATAAATTAGATAATGTTTCTGTGTTAAAAATGGTTGGATAATTTTAGTCATTTCTGTAAGTCAGAACCAATTTTCTTTATTCTCTCATTTAACCTTAACTTAATAAATTCCACCCATGAACACTTGTAAATGTGTATGTGTGTATGTGTGTGTGTGTTTTTCAGGGGTCGTTGACATTTAGGGATGTGGCCATAGAATTCTCTCTGGAGGAGTGGCAATGCCTGGACACTGCTCAGCAAGATTTGTATAGAAAAGTGATGTTAGAGAACTATGCAAACCTGGCTTTCTTAGGTGAGAATAACTTTAATACACAATTCCTTATATATCCTAAAGGTTTCATTTCTCTGTTTTTCTAAAATAATTTTTGATAATTTATGCTTTCCATAAATGAATTTCTTATTCCTGTTTTCAAACAATCTTGAGGAATTGTCCATGTAGAAACAACTTAAATGTTTTATTTTGGCCTGAACTTTTTTTTTTTTTTTTTGAGACAGAGTTTTGCTGTTGTTACCCAGACTGGAGTGCAATGGCACGATCTCGGCTTATTGCAACCTCCACCTCCTGGGTTCAGGCAATTCTCCTGCCTCAGCATCCTGAGTAGCTGGGGATTATAGGCACGTGCCACTATGCCCAGCTAATTTTTTGTATTTTTAGTAGAGACGGGGTTTCACCTCGTTGACCAGGATGGTCTTGATCTCTTGACCTCATGATCCACCCACCTCGGCCTCCCAAAGTGCTGGGATTAGAGGCATGAGCCACCGTGCCCGGCCTGGCCTGAACTTTTTACATTCCTGAGTTAGTCCGTATCCTTCACTCTAGAGTAGTGGCAATTTCAGAAATTTAGTGGTATAAAATATTGTTGCCCCTATGTAAAATTCTACTTTCCACCACTAATTTTTGACTCATGAGTACCAGGTAGTAAAATTAAGAACCTACTAATTTAAAATATTTTCTAAATGTTAAGAATTTTCTGTCATTAATAGTATTTTGGGATTAATTTTCTAGACTATTCTATGACATCCTCTTTACTAAGCATGATACTAGATTGATAATTTGAGCATATGAGTAAGATTCATGTAATTTATTTTTAATAAAGCAGGTATTGCTGTCTCTAAGGCAGATTTGATCACCTGTCTGCAGCAAGAAAAAGATCCCTGGAATGTGAAGAGACACAGTATGGCAGCCACACCCCCAGGTAGGTGAGAGTGAATAAAACAGTTGACATAGTTGAAAGGTTGGAAGATTAAAAAAAAGAACAGAAAATCCAGTCCCTACAGTGTGATTTGGGAAGCTGTGTTCCAAAGCAAATAGTTTCTGGGAAGCCTGAGGTGTTTGTTTGTTTTCTTGTTGTTTTCTCACATAGGGCCATCTTCTCTCTTATGCTTTCAAATTCTCAAAGGAGTCTACTTTTCCTTCATTGATCTTCCTTCAAGTTTACAGTGAGAGCCAAAGTCCTCTTCATGGCATATGAGTTCTCTTTTTGCATCATGTATAAAATGTGTGTGAGTAGTGATCTCTGTTCTATTGGCTTTTTTTTTTGTTTTTTTATTTGCTTGTTTGTTTGTTTTTTGACATGGAGTCTTGCTTTGGCACCCAGGCTGGAGTGCAGTGGTGTGATCTCAGCTCACCGTTAACTTTGCCTCCCAGGTTCAAGTGATTCTCCTGCCTCAGCCTCCCAAGTAGCTGGGATTACAGGCATGTGCCATGATGCCCAGCTAATTTTGTATTTTAATAGACAAGGTTTCTCCATGTTGGTCAGGTCATTCTCAAACTCCTGACCTCAGATGATCCATCACTTTTTTTTTTGAATTAGAGTTTCACTCTTGTTGCCCAGGCTAACCTTCTGCCTCCCAAGTTCAAGCAATTCTTCTGCCTCAGCTTCCCAAGTACCTGTGATTACAGGCACCCAACATCATACCCAGCTAATTTTTTTGTATTTTTACTGGAGACAGGGTTTCACCATGTTGGCCAGGCTGGTCTCAAACTCCTAACCTCAGGTGATCTGCCTGTCTTGGACTCCCAAAGTGTGAGGCTTACAGACATGAGCCACTGCGCCTGGCCACTCATTTCTTTTTAGTGCTAATTTATTAAAAGTTTCTCATCAGAATATTTTAAGTACACTGCATACTCTCTAAAATTTTACTGCCACATAGTACATGCCAATGATTCAAAATACCTGCCTTTCATGAGTACACAGTTACAGTCAAATGCTGTAGTTAGACATATTGTTTAACGGTACATTAATGTTGCATACCAGATATTATGAGTACATATGTGTTTTATTGTTGCGCAGTTTCATATTAGTGGTTTTTTTAGTGTAGGTTTCTTAACATTGGCTTATTGTGTTTCTTGTTTTTTCTTATGTGTTTTAATTTTAGTCAATTTGCAATCCTGTTTCTACACTTTAAGTCAATGTGAGGTTTAATTAAAAGATAAATCAGCTATATGTCTATCACAGTCATATTATATAAGTGTGTTAATCTATAAATACGATCTCAATATTGGTTATGGCTTGTCTTGTATATATTTTTTCTTGGGTGATTTTCAGTGGTTTTGTCTTGTATAAGCAAGTAGTCATGGAAATATTTCCACCATTTCTTATTTTCACTGAATATATATATTTTCATTGAATATGTATTTCCTTTGTGTAAGATAAACACTTCTGTGATTTCAAGGTAATGTTTAAAAAGATTTATAATTCTATATTTTTCCCAGTTTTTCCTTTAGAAAATTAATTGTTGTTAAGAACACATAACATTTAAAATTTCATATCTTAAATCTATTTAAGTATACATTTCAGGGCCAGACATGTGGGTGGCTCACATCTGTAGTTTCAGAAATTTTAGAGGCCAAGACAGGAAGATCACTTGAGCCCAAAGTTTAAGACCAGCTTGGGCAACATATGAAGATTTCTTCTTTATAATTTTTTTTTTTTTTAAATAGACAGGCATTGTGGTGTGCACCTGTGGTTCCAGCTACTTGGGAGATTGAGAGGGGAGGATTACTTAAGCCTAGAAGTTTGAGGCTGAAGTGAGCCTTAATTGTTCCACGTCACTTCAGCTCGGGTGACAGAGTGAGACTCTGTCTCAAAAAGAAGGTTTAAATTTCAGGCATGTTAAATATATTCACATTGTTATGCAAAAGACTTCTAAAAATTTTACGTCTTGTGAAACTAAAACCCAGTATCCATTAAGCAACAACAATCCATTTGCTCTCTCCCCAGCCCTTTACAAACACTCTTCTAGTGTCTGTTTTTTTTTTTTTTTTTTTTTTTTTTTTTTTTTGAGACCGAGTTTCGCTCTTATTACCTACCCAGGCTGGAGTGCAATGGCGCGATCTCGGCTCACCGCAACCTCCGCCTCCTGGGTTCAGGCAATTCTCCTGTCTCAGCCTCCTGAGTAGCTGGGATTACAGGCACGTGCCACCATGCCCAGCTAATTTTTTGTATCATTAGTAGAGACGGGGTTTCACCATGTTGACCAGAATGGTCTCGATCTCTTGACCTCGTGATCCACCCGCCTCGGCCTCCCAAAGTGCTGGGATTACAGGCTTGAGCCACCGCGCCCGGCCAGTGTCTGTTTTTATAAGTGTGATTACCTAAGATATCTAAGTGAGATCATACAGTATTGATCACTTTGTTGCTGGCTTATATAGGTGACATAATATTTGCAAAGTTTATATTAAAATATAACAAGATTTTAATACTGAATATTCCATTGTATGTATATGTTACATTTTTGATGTGTTTATAAATCAAGAGACATCTGAATTGCTTCAGCCTTTTGGCTTTTGTGAATATGAGTACAATAAATATGCATGTTTAAATGTCTTCCAGGTCTTGCACTGCATATTTGGACTATAGATTAATAAATGGCTGTATTTGATGATAACTCCATCTTAATTATTTGAGAAACATAACATTTTAATATAATGGCTGCATCTTTGTTTTTGTTTTTTTGAGATGGAGTTTCGCTCGTTACCCAGGCTGGAGTGCAATGGTGCGATCTCGGCTCACTGCAACCTCCGCCTACTGGGTTCAGGCAATTCTCCTGCCTCAGCCTCCCGAGTAGCTGGGACTATAGGCACGCGCCACCGTGCCCAGCTAATTTTTTGTATTTTTAGTAGAGATGGGTTTTCATCATGTTGACCAGGATGGTCTCGATCTCTTGATCTCGTGATCCACCAGCCTCGGCCTCCCAAAGTGCTGGGATTACAGGCGTGAGCCACCGCACCCGGCCTGTGTATTTTTTTTTTTTAAGATGGAGTCTCACTGTTTTGCCCAGGCAGGAATGCAGTGATGTGATCTCAGCTCACTGCAACCTCTACCTCTCAGGTTTAAGCAATTCTTCTGTCTCAGCCATCAAGGTAGTTAGGACTATAGTTGGGCACCTTCACACCTGGCTAATTTTTGTATCGTTAGGTAGAGATGGGATTTCACCATGTTGGACAGGCTGGTTTCGAACTCCTGATCTTGCGATCTGCCTGTCTTGGCCTCCCAAAGTGCTGGGATTACAGGCGGGAAATACCATGCCCCGCCTATTTGTGTATTTTTTTTGATAAAATATTGTTCAATGCATTCCTCATTTCTAAATCAATTTATTTAGCTTTATTGTTCAGTTTAAAAAGGTGATATATTCTTAATATTAACTCCTATCATATGTGATTTGCAAATATTTTCACCTATTTCCTAGAAGGCATTTTCACTCAATTGAATATATATATATATTTTAATGTGCAGAAATTTTGGAGTATAGTGTAGTTACATTTTTCTGTTGTTTCCTTTGTTCTTCATGCACTGAACGTCACTATCTAAGCAAATGTTGCCTAGAGGCTGGGTGCAGTGGCTCACGCATGTAATCCCAGCACTTCTGGAGGCTAAAGCGGGTGGATCACCTGAGTTTAGGAGTTTGAGACCTGTCTGGCCAACATGGGAAAACCCTGCCTCTACAAAAATTATAGAAATTAGCCGGGCATGGTGGTGGGTGCCTGTAATCCCAGCTACTTAGGAGGTGAGGCAGGGGAATCACTTAAACCTGGAAGGTGGAGGTTGCAGTGAGCCAAGGATCACGACACTGGACTAGAGCCGGGGTGACAGAGCAAAACCCTGTCTCAAAAAAAGAAAAAGAAAATGGTGCCTAGACCCATAACTTGTCTTTTTAAAATATTTTTTCTAAGATGCTTTTTTTAATGTCTAAGTATTTTTTAAATTATTTGTATTTGGTTCAAGGAAACAATCCAACTTTATTAATGTTGATTTCAGTTTTCCACATGTTTTGAAAAAATATATTTTCTCCATTATGTGCTCATGACAACTTAGGAAAGATCATGTAATCATATACAGAAGGCTTCATTTCTGGGTTCTCTATTCTGTTCTTTCATCCTTTTATCTTCATTTGTATCAGTATCACACTGTTTTGGTTACTATAGATTTTAATATGTTTTAAAATCAAAGTATAATGTCTCTGTTCTTTTTCATGGATGTTTTGCTAGGTATCATTTACAATAAAATTTTAAAACATTTAACAATATTTCTGTAATAAAACTGTGGTATTGTAACTTTTTTTTCTAGACCGAGTTTTGTTCTTTTGCCGAGGTTGGAGAGCAGTGGTGTGACCTTGGCTCACTGCAACCTTCACCTTCTGGTTTCAAGTGATTCTCCTCCCTCAGCCTCCCAAGTAGCTGGAATTACAGGTGCCTGCCACCACACTTGGCTAATTTTTGTATCAGTAAAGATAGGGTTTCACGGTTTTAACCAGGCTAGTCTAAACTCCTGACCTCATGATCTGTCCTCCTCAGCCTCCAATGTGCTGGGATTACAGATGGGAGCCACTGCATTTGGCACTATTGTGATTTTTATAGATGATATTTAAGTTGTTCACCACTGTAGGTTGTGCTGACATTTTAACACAATTAAATTTTTTGACCCTTTAGCAAGAATATGATGAAGCGTGTGTTTCAGTTTTCTTTCTTTTTTTAAGAGACAGGGTTTTTCTATATTGCCAGGCTAATTTCAGTCTCCTGGGCTCAAGCATTTCTCCTGCCTCAGCCTCCCAAAATGCCGGTATTACAGGTGTGAGCCATTGCACTCAGCCTGTGTGTTTTATTTTTATTTATTCTTGAATTTGCCAGTTTTGCTTTTAATTCCTAGTTTTATTCAGGTTTGGTAAGAAAACATACAGTGTATGATTTTGGTGT